GGGGCATGTGGCCCTCCCACCCCCTCCGTACATGGTAGGTTGATCGAGAGGTCCTCCAAACAGGGCAAGTCCCCACAATTAATGACGATTGAGTTTGGCCCCCGGGAGAATAATAGTATAAACTTCCCGATATGGATTAGCGCGTAATAATATACAGAGTGCCTCTACCGAACTCGGTATAAGCGCCGTCTCTGGTCTTTTTTGATTACAAGTACACACATGGATCATTTTGACTATTTGTCTTAGCTCTTATTAGCTCCTTACTCAACCTGGATTAAGCACTCCGACATATCTCTCGGCAGCGGGGGCTGGTCAACGTAAGTCACGAGGCAACGAAGGCTTGATAGGTCGTGCATCACTTGATCCCTCGAAACCACACACACACACACATACACACACTATTAGCCGCCGGCGAGCGGGTCAGACCCGGTGTTGGTGCCATCCAACCAACAGCGTTCATGATGGCTCTCCATCGTAAATACTCGCACCTCGCACTTGGTTCGTTCGGCCAGTCAGTAAGCGACAAGCAAGCCACCATCCTCCCCCTCCCCTCCTGTCCTCGTCTGACAAGCTCCCAAAACTCTCAGTGAGATTCTAGATGCTTCAGTGGATGATTGATATGTTTGGATTGATGGCCGTTTCTTTATCCGAACCTAACCGTCGTGGCCAGCTGATCGGCGTTAGCAGAAATAAAGTCTCCATTGGGCGCTAGTTCCCCGAGGTATTCCCAAGTAGGATCGGTTCAATCGGGAAGCGATCCAACTGCAGCTCTCTACATACTCGGGCACCAGGAGCAGACAGATCCCAATGCCCTTCATTGACAGTGCCTCTCTGGCCACCGTCAGTCAGACTTACGGGGAATGGGGGGTATCAGCCTGTAGGCTTGAGGGAACAATGGGCTGGTGAAATGAACAAAGTAGTAACACTCCTTGTGGAGGGCAGTTACAAGATGCTCCATTTACCGGAGCTTGCGATCCGCGCAATGACCTGTTATAGACACGGAGTTACATGGTGTGTGTAAACAACACCTTAGAGGCCGAAACTGCTGTCGGTGTAAGTTCACCATGTCGTTTGTTTCATACAAATCAGCAATGTTGAAAGCACACCAAACACTTACTGTGCTTAGTAGATGGGGCAGGGTGTTTTTACTCTGATGGTGAAACAAATCAGACACGAGGCTTAGATGCACTGGGGAAAAAAACAAGCTCAGCTTGACTGGAATGTACCGTCTGTTACGGAATTCGTATAAGCTTCGGTTCCTTGTGGAAGCTGATCTAATATACCTTGCACATTTTCCCTTGTGTGTTTTGCCACCCCCTGGTCGCCGTTCGGAGCCACTTTGCCATGAATATTCCCGTCGCCGCCGCTGCCACCGCCGCCGCCGCCAAAAAAAAACAAACATAAGATACACCCCCAAAATAAGTTTGGCCCACATTGGTATAGCTGCGGTAGTCGTATTACATGCCTCGCCCTCGGCCCATAGCGCCGCCTCTGCCCCGCATTCCCATGGCCCCTCCTCGAGCGCCGCCCCTCATACCGCCTCGTGCACCCATGGGTCCGCCAGCCCCTCCAGCACCGTTGGTCGAGTTGGGATTGGGAACTTGCGGAGCCAGACCAGCTGGGTTGATCGCCATAGGTTCCGCATCCTTGAGGAGTGACGCTCTCTCGATTGTGCTGCCATTCGCCTGGAACTGGCTGCCACCCGTCGTGCCGGCCGTGTCGCTAGGGTTGACCTTGATCTTGACGGCGCTGATTTCGACGTGTGTCTGGATGATACCAATCAAGAAGCCGATGGTCCAGATGACCGCTAGCCAGTGTAGTGCGAGGGCTGCACTGCCTTTGGTCACCTGGAAGATGCCAGGGGCTTGCTCGTTGTGGCTCGTGGCGAGCTGGACCGCCGCAAACATCTGCGAGTTCGACACTGCCGCGGCGAAGGCGAAGATGGCCGAGAGTCCGATCAGCACAATCATGACGATCCGCAGGATGTCGAGTCGTCGGTTCCGTTGTGACTGTCTCCATGATGATGCTGGGCCGACCCAAGGCTTGTTCAGGGCGCCGTAGAAGGCGAACATGATGACTCCGAGTGCCAGGAACATGCCGGGGATAGCAGGGAAGACAATGAAGACATCATTCTGCAGGGATGCTGCTACCTCAAACAACACCGAGTTGAGCGTCTGGTTAGCAGGTAAGGATTCAAAGTCGTAGATGTTGTTGGTCCCGATGGACAGGTATCGGATACTGGAAGCGTGGTCTTTGCCGACGGTGATGGCGCAGTGCTCCGGACCACTTGAGAGCGAACAGCACATTGCTACAGAACATGGTGAGTTTCCAGGCCCTTCTCATTCTTTTGCGTCAAAGGGAGCCACAAACCTGTATATCCGATGCGTAACCGGGTTGTTGCCAGTCCATCAACGGAGTTGAATTGTAAAAGATAGTATCCCGACGTCCCACTCCCCGAACCTTGTGCTCCAGGTACGTCGCCCAGAATGACAAGAGCTTTGCCCAGAAGTCAGTATCATGTTCGGTTCATGATGGGGGAGGTACAATGAAATGGTATGTATGCTTACCTTGGAACAGAATCGCCAGAGCGCCCAGCAGATATACAAAAAGGCGAAGCCAAACACTATCTAACGCAACGCATTAGCATATCATTGACCATGACACAGCGAGGCACTGTGACTTTACCGGCTATGTGCTTCTTCCAATACTGTGACATCCCCGAGCCCATCGAGCCCATCCCCTGGCTCATACTTGATACTGCGTTCATATTGAGGGAATGTGTGGGAGACTAGGAAAACAGCGAAAAAGGAGAGTCGGAGTCGCCAAAACAGGGCCCAAGGAAACGCAGACAAGGACTGACACACACGCCAAAAGCAATTGTTTTAACGAGTGGAATTCTGATAGATAGGATTGAAAAGGACGGTGGAATGAGGAGGAAGTTTCTTTATTTCTTGGTTCTGCCAGGATGGCTTCGACCTGTATATGGATGTGCTCTATGTATACGGCGGGGGGGGAGGGAGGTGAGGTGAGTCGGGACCGGGCACCGGAGGCTGAGTTCAACCAATTTTAGTACACGAAGTGGCCCTAGGTACGCGGTAGAGAGCTTTGAATAGCTTCCTACCCTTTCTCTGCAAAGGTGATTATCTTTCTCAGACTGAAATCGTAAAGTAGAGGGGAAACCGGTACGGGACGCCTCTCCACGTACTAACTTAAGCAGTGCTGTGCCTCGTCTCTGGCCACTGAACAAAAAGGGCCCCCGAGGCTCAGAGAGGTTGCATGGGTGGTCGATCCACCCAGGCCTGGTTGGCGTGCCCCCTCCTCTCCCTTGTCATTACAGTCTGTTACACGATTGGTTAGTAAAACCCCTGCCTCTATATCGGGAAGGTTGCTTAGATCATGGCTACTTCTCATGCTCGGGAGCTGAAGAGGACAGTCAGATGCACCGCCAACCATTCTACGCATGAAAGCTCCACCCCTTCCTGCACACCAGCTCGCCGAAGGACGACAGTCATGGTGTCCGGGTACCACATTTCCACACCAAACTATCTTACATCTTCCCACATCAGACGCCCTCCGGCGACACTATGGCGATCATATCTACGTTCTCGGCAACGTTCGGTGTAATAATCTGACAGAGTGGGGCGCTACCCACGATTCCCAATCTGCAGACGGCGTTTCATTGGATCTGAGCTGTGTTGAACTCGGAGGCAATGTCTTTCAGCCTGCCCGGATATTGAAGACTCGCTTTTTACCGGAGATTCGGAATACAATGCAGTGGACTCCAGAGTAATGATAGCCCTACGACTCGATCCTTGTGAGTCTGTGACATCTGACATGATCTCGGATTACATGAATCCTTCCAATAAATACCATCTGACTATGAAATTGACAGGACGTAAACATGCCTACTGGAACGTTACAAAGGTGAAAAGCTGTAAAGATTGAGATATCGGGACTACCAGCCTTGCCAGTAGTAGTCAGTAAGCCAAGACTGACAGACATGCCAGATATCAGATGGTTGGTGAGAAGAAAAGTAAAGGTAGAGGGTTTGAGGCTCTGGATATGGATAAATGAATGAGTATAAGCACTGCCAATTTTACAACCAAAACACGACAAAACACCTGCAGAAAGTACCAGTAACCCGCTTACTATATGCTGAATCAAGCAACCATTTCCCTGCAGTAGCAGCAGCAGCAGCAGCAGCGAGCCCTGCTCTCCACCATCATTCAATATCACATTGTCCCCCAACTTCTCCCGACACTTCCGTAACCGCGATACAACTGTATTACATATGTTGAGAGCCACCGTGATGCTGCTGCTGTTGCTCGTCATGGCAGTCATCATGCCCCTGGTGTTCGTGCTGTTGCCCATGTGGTTGTTCGTGCTGCTGTTGTTCTTGTTGGTGGTGTGGTTGTTGTTCTTGGTGTTGGTGAACATGGTCATCGGATGGTGGAGGGCAGTGGCAACCGTCACCACCTGTTTGCTGCTTATGAGGATCATCGTGGTTGCTGCTGTCATGCTGCTGCGTCTGAGGGTCGTGGTGGTTGCTGTTATCATGCTGCTGTTGATGGCAGTCATCGTTATGACCCGATCCCATTTCATGGTGACTTGGGTCTTGCTCACCATGCTGGTTTTGTTCATGGCCATAGTGACCCCCGTGCTGGCTCGGGTCGTGCCCATCTTGATGCTCGTGTCCATCAGGATGGCCCCCAGGCTGGCTCGGATCATGCTCATCTTGATGCTCGTGTTGATTGTAGTAACCGTGAGGGTCGCTCTCATGTCCACCGTGATGATTCCAGTGACCGTTGGGGTCTTCCTCGTTATGACCCTCTTGATTTTCTTCGTCGTATTGACCATGCTCATTGTGGTCGTGGCCATTGTGATCGTGGTGATGCCAGCTTTGGTCACCATGTTCATCACTCTGGTCTTCGTCCCCATCTAAAAGTAAAGTTATTAGACAAAAATACTCATCATCGACAGATTCCTCGGGACAACTCACAATGGTTCATCGAGTCATCATTGTCGCCAGGATGGCTCCAGTGGTGGTGGTGGTATTTACCCTGATGATCCTGGCCATCTTCGGCACACTGATCGTCCCCTTCCTCCTGGCATCCGTCGTCGTCCTGATCATAGTGACCATCGTGACCATTTTCTTCCTCGCCATTGTGGCTAAGACCCAAGCCATCTTGAAAGGCATCGGCAATTTCGTGAACACCATGAACAACATCTTGGAAGCCGTGTTCGGCAAGGCCGATGATGTGGTCAAGACCCATGATGTGTGGAGTATTTGGTAACTACAGGGGACTGATATGAAATTGAAAATAGGAAAAGCAAAGACTAGCCGAAACAACTTATTGGCGAAGATTGGAAGAGGAGAAGTGGTGCAGTTTGATATAAACGACCTGGTTCTGCTCAGTTGCCAAGGAGAGCCTCGGTGTCTTTATATCGTCTACTTTTTGATTGCTGAACCGTGTTGCAAAAAATAGTAACTCGCCCGCAAGAGTTGCTAAAGAAAATTCAGCTGAGTAGAAGCTTGCCCTCTGTTTACCACAATCTATAGCAGGATTGGGGCCGTGCACGCGATGGTCACATCCAAAGGGGGTAATATTTCTTGTCAGGCCAAGGCGAAAGTCACGAGGGGCGCAGGGGGGGCCGGCGGGTAGGGAAAAATGGAATCAAAGCCCCCTTCGACATCCATCTACTCAGATCTGGCCAGGCCGGGGACCTGAGCATATTGTTGGCCGATGATTACAGTAGATGCAGATGACAAAGAAGGCGGCAAGAGCATTGCCATCTTGCCATAGCGTCTACACGGGAGTAAACTGTGGCGGTATAAGCACTATGCGCAGGGTAGATATCAGGTCGGGTCAAAGCTCTCTCCCACTTGGCTCCATATTGGAAGATAAAGGAGCGAGAGGGGCGAGCTGAGTGGAGTACTTTGTAACTTCGTACGAGGCGGCACATTGTATCCACAGAAGATGTCCACAGTGAGCCAAGGCAACCAATAATGCGTATTCCACGTGTATGATACAGGTATAGTTTGCTGGGGGCACAATACTCCCCGGTCCCCAGGCACGAAAATAGCCTGTATCGAATAATTACTTACATTAACTATTTCTGATACCCACCCGAATATGGCGATCTGCTTACCTTGAGCATTATCCACGAAAAGTGTTGTAGCCACTAAAGTCTCAAACATGACCACACACTCAACCCCGGACAAATTCCCCTAAAGGCCTTTGGCCCTCGTTTATAATCATAAGCCAACTTAGGAGAGGCCACACAGACCGTGGTCCGTATCTCCCTGCCACACAGCTCAGTGCTCGCTTGACTTAAATAGGCCCAACCCTGGTCCGGACGGAGACTGCGCCTCCAAGAGCTCTACGTCGGTGAGCGTGGCTAGCTGGCCAGCCGCAGGAGAAGACCACGTGTGTGCCTGCAACACGAAAGGAAATGAGTCGAGCGCAGGGATGGCTTGGGAATATGTATATAATTGATTTTATATGACTTTAGACCCCGACGGGGCAAGAGAAAAGCTACCTTCCACAGAGACCTTCAGATCACATCTTGTCTTCTCTCCTGTTCCCATCTCTCCAAATTAAGCTACTACAATGCCCAAAGGATTTCACCTGAAGCTGGGCGGCGCAAAGCCTGCTCCTAAAGCAGCTCCGAAGCCCGCCGCGAGTTCTGCTCCTCATACAACCCCGACTCCCACGAAGCCCACACCTCCCACACCTCCCCCAAAGCCAACACCACCGGCAGCAGCACCACCAGCGAGTCTACCGACTAGCGCACCTGGCCTAGCAAAACCACCACCAGGGGCACCAGGAGCGCCGGTAGAACCGCCAGCCGGCATCCCTGGACCGTCGAGCACACCGTCTCAACCTCTCCAAGCACCATCCGGAGTACCAGGTGAGCCGCCTCATACGCAGCCGGGGTTACCTGGTCAAACTCCCCATCCGCAGTCAGGAGCACCAAGTCAATTTTTTCCCGGAAACCAGCCACAGAATGATCCGGGGTTCGATCTACCAGGGCTTCCGCAAGACGGCGGCTATGGCCAGCAACAACCTCCTCGCTCGGGGGGACCCAGCTGGCTAAATCCTCTGGCGGAAGGCGCCGGGCAAGCCCTTCCATATGTCGTTCCGCAAATCGCTGGGCAATTTCTCCAGCCACACTCGTCGACCCCAGCAAACCCCGCGTACGGGAGTATGCCCCCGGACTATGGCACCGGGATGGGTACAGGTATGGAAGGCACAGGTATGGAAGGCACAGGTATGGAAGGCACAGGTATGGAAGGCACAGGTATGGAAGGCACAGGTATGGAAGGTACATATGCAGACCAGACGGGACAATATGCAGATCAAACCGGGCAATATGCGGGTGACACAGAACTATACCCCGAGGATACAACCTACAGCACAGCTCAGAATCCAGAAGCAGGTGCCACCGCCTACGGGGGCACCACAGCAGGCAAAGCCAGCACGGGATTCGACGACCCCGAAGCTGATCAAGATGACCTCGGATACGACGATGTCGACGAGACTGGAGCTTCTACTGCCACCGGCAACCACGCCGCGCCTATGAGTCAAGGTACTGCAGCGGCAGCAGGAGGAGTAGGAGGAGCTCCTCGCGCCATGTCACACATGGCGGCCCCCGGCGTGGCAGGGGGCATTGCCCAATCCGCCCAAGGTCAAGGACCATACGACGATGACGATGAGCTGTACGACGACACATACGAGGATGAAAACTATGAGGGAGACGACTATGACTATGAAGAAGAGGATCCCGAGGATGACGGCCAAGGAGGAGCTGGCGGTGTTGGCACTTCAAACACTTACCATCCCGTCGCTCCACGGGTCGGGGTTGTCATGCATTGAGAGTTGTGCTCGGTAGGATGTGTCTGGTTCCTTGGTCTTGGGGACCTGGAACATTTCGAAACCCATTTTCTTTTCTGTCCGCTGGGAGTAAGGATCGTGGGGCGTTGGATTTTCTAGAGCAAGGCGAGATATTGACGCGGATGTCTTTTTCTGACACGTCCCAAGAAGAGATAGTCAATGCAGGATTTCCTTTTTTCCTCTCCCTCAACCTTGTGATTCTCTGTCATTTTCAAGGTGTGCTTTGTCTTTGCAATTTTGCCCTCGTAGAGAAGCAGGACTGGGCGTTTTCTTACTTCAAGATATTGATTTGCCCTCACAACTTAGCACCTGAAATGGGGGAAATGCCATCTTCTGTCGTGTTTGAGGATATGGCATCAAGGTCGGTTCGCGCGTCGGTTGTACGGTCCCCCAAGACTGTCAATATGGGATGAGATGGGCTGGAGTCGCCGTATCTTTCATGATCTTCCTTACCGCCATCTCCTACCACTATGACCCTCGTCTGCGAAGAAAGGATATTCACGGGTATATTGGCGTAGAGCTCGTGATGCTCGTCAACGATGGCTCATATGGTGCTGACTTGACTGCCTCATCGGCTTCTCTGTATGCATCGTAGCCGTAGAGCCAGGGCTGGGGCTCTGGACACGTCCTAGATCGAATCAATCAGTGCCGTCCCGAAGTTCCCGGTAGCTGGGGTGAAGGAGTTTTCGCTGACCATCGACCAGGGAACTTGCCAGATTTCCTTGCCTAGTTGCGACTCGAATATCTTGTCGCGTTCTCGCTGTTGAGGACCGTCGGGCTAATGGAACGCCTCTCTCTGAAGAAATGTCTCGCGGGCGATCTTCTCGCTGCGCGGCTTGCGAAGACGTTCGTACAGGGTGATCGCCCACTGCAACTGCTCCCTAGTCCTCACATACGATAGCAGCCTTCCGAGGACACCGCCGTCTTCGATCGACGAGTTGGCTCTCTGCGCGAGATAGGGCAGCATCGGGTGGCGGAATCGCCCAGCAAGACGAAATTCTTGTCCTTGTTCGTCCACGACTCCAGCTCCTGCCGATGCATGAGTTTCCACTTGTCGACCTGTTCGACCTGCTCGAGGAAACGGGTGAGGATGGGATCCCAGAGAGAGAACAGGGCCCGCATCTCATCCACCGAGCCCGTCGCTCGTGAGAGGCCCTGAGGGAGGTCATCCGAGCAAAGCAGAACTATATTGTACGTGGTGCTGCTTCTGTTCGAGTATGCCACGGCGCGGGAGTGCGGGCCTATCCAAAAATGGACCTGTGGGTTGGCAATCCATTCCTTCAATTCAGGGTCTTTGCACCTTCGCTCCCAGCGACACGGCCCTGTCATACAGGATCCTCTGCAAATCAACTCGGTGGATGTCAAAGAAAGGAAGACCATATCTGTGTTGAACGATCTTGTCGAAACCTCTTTGCTCTGCCAGAATCTTGCCATCCCTGTACCTATGCACAGCTAGAACTGTCGGCACCGCAGCGACGACTCTGACGGAATCTTCCAAACCTCATTCTCGAAACAACCTTGAGGCGTTGGGCGTGATTTGCAATACTGCACCAATCTCGGCGAGTTCTTTAGCCGCCTCAAAGACGGTGACTGTATGTCCTGCAAGAGAACAGGAGATGGCGGCGGCCAGGCCTGCTAGACTGGCCCCCACGATTGTGATATTCAACACATCTGTTCGACCGTCGGTGTGTTCAGATGTTGGGTCATGCCGCATGGCCGTTGCCATGTATATATATATGTGTGTGTGTGTGTGTGTGTGTGTGTGTGTGTGTGTGTGTGTGTGTGAGACACAGTTGTATGGGTCGACCGCCTTGCTTGATCTCCTCTTCTCATAGATTGTCAGCGCCAGCTGTTCTTGGAAAGAGTATCGCGCACAGACGCGACGGTGCTACACGGGGGCAGGGAAATATTGGGATTGTGGATGGCAAGTAAGTGGCCGAGTAAGTGGGTTCACTCGGTAATTGGGCTTCACATTCTGCCGATTCCATCTACCGATTGGAGGAGGGCCATCAGGTAAAGACAACATCACGCGGACGTCAAACGGACACCAGCCAGATTCATACGCCCATCATTCACTTGGCAAACACTGAGGCCCCAATGAACAATCTACCACAACTCGGTAAAGCAATTGTTCCAAGTCTTGTTGCCCACCTACCAGCTCTACACGCCATTGTTGCAAAGACAAGCCAACATCATCAAATCAACACCGCGCCAGACGTTCCGGTATGGAGAGCATCCGCGCCAACAGTTGGATCTCTACACTCCCGCCGAGACGACACCTTCCAAAGTGGGCCATTCTGTCTTGATCTTCCTGTACGGTGGAGGGTTCGTCCAAGGCGACAAGATCAATCAGATCTTGCCCGACGGTCTGGTATATGCCAACGTGTGCCAACGTGGGCCATTTCTTCACCCAAAACCTGGGGATCAAAGTCGTCATTCCGGATTACAGACTCATCTCCCACGATGCCACATTCCCTTCCGGGGGTCAGGATTTGGAGCTGGTCATTGACTGGATCAAGGCGAATATAGACCATGACCCATCACATCCCACAACCCTTTTTATCATGGGTAACTCGGCTGGAGGTGTTCACTTGGCAACCTATCTCTTCGCTTCTGAATTTCGAGGACACCGACAGAAAGTACTCACAGGAGATACTCTAGGCGTGAAGCTGGGAGGTGTCATCTTCCTCTCGGCTCCCTTCCACTTTGATCGGGCGACTGCAGAGAGGGCGAAGACTCTTCAGGCGTACTTTGGGGACGATGTCTCCAATCATTCCCCTCTAGGGCTGTTAAGAGCTTGCAAGGGAGACGGCTCTGTCAGTGATCTGAAAGGGATCCCGGTCATGGTGCTATATGGAGGACTAGATCCGGAAGACGAGATACTGACCTCGAAGAACGATTTTGTCAAGGAATGGATCGGCACGGACGCTGTGGCCAACGACTTGACAGTCCTCAAGATGGAAGGCCACAACCACATCAGCCCCGTCTTAGGGTTGGGGACCGGAATCTTCAATGAAGAAGCTTGGGGCCGGCAGGTGGTCGAGTTCGTCATCGCAGCCGCTGGCAAGCAAAAATAGTCGACTGCCAAGTCCCGCTCGTGGCAGCTGAGACAGAATGTGCATACCGATTACAACCATTCTCTGCAGAAAGAGATGTATGGACTAGGTGTATCAACTCCGTGGCGGGACGGAAGTCAAAAGGTAAACAGGAGGAACAGCGTGAAAAAGGAGTCTGTTGGAGGAATTACCCTGAAGCATCAAGGCTGGGTATCTTGTTTGTATCTGTACAAAAATCTATGGTGTGAACCGACATGTCTTCGTTGTTCCCATCTAGCCTCGTCCATATTCCACATCCTCTGTTTAAGAGGAGGAAGCCATCTCCATTATATCGTCTCTGGTACTTTTGTGCACCTGGTCCGCACATTGGCGGCGGACCCCATCATATCCAAGTATAAAAAGTCGTATACTGTCAAACGCATCGTTGTAGAATCGGAATCTGCATGTCCATCATACTGTACATCGCCGTTAATCCATCGCTGCCAGCGCTCTCTCAGTGCTATTGCGAAGTCGGCACCACCAGCATTTCTCGGCTACCAGGCCTCTGCAAGCGGTCGATACCAAGATGCTCCTTGCCATCCCGACCAACGAAGATTCCGAAGGCGTACCTCATCCCGGCGTCGTGAGCCAGGCGGCGGACAGCACGCCTTGAACGACGGCCTTTCTCTTCCAGCACCGTGTCACCAGTCAGTGACGCTAGAGCAGTTTTTGGGCCTGTCAATGTCTCCGCCAATTCAGCTTTTGTGCCGATATTTTGCAGGGCGACGTCGCCGAGCAGTGGACTTGCATAGAGCCAACTCAATAGTGCCGCAATGGTGTCGATGCTGTGAGGGAGATATCGCTTCCGAGTTGGCCAGATTATTAGGTATGAGAGTGCATAAATGGTGACCAGCACGCATAATGCGATGTACCCGGGCATGCTGGCGACCATCCTGACTTGATTGTCCGCGGAGAAGAACACTGCAGTGAACGCTCCACCAGCCAGCACCGGGATAGAGAGCGAGAGTATTGAGATGAACGTAATATATGCGACTTTATAATCGCGATTGACTAGGGCCCGAATAATGACACGGATATGTCCATAGGAAGGGTATGCGAGCAGTAAAGAGTTTCGTGCCGTAGCACCATTAGGTTGAGAGAGGTTGCGGAATGGCTGGACCGCTCTGAAGTACATGTCAATCGGTTGCCAAGCGAGAAACAGCACCATACCGAGAAAAGCTGGCAGGAAACTGTAGAGGAAGTTGGCTGGTGAAAAGCCACTGGAATCCGTCAAAGATGGGAGCAGAGGCCGGAAGCCATCTTCAACTGCTTTGTTCACAAAGCTGACGACCAAAAAGGCGATGACCATCAGGATAGCTGCCACAATCCAGGCCAAGACAAATGAATCACGGAGGTACCAGGGCGTCCACCGGTATCGCACAAAAGGCGAATGGATATTGCGTGAGAACGCGGAACCATAAGAATACCGTTGAGCTTCAACATCACCTTGCTCAATCAAGCCATGGACAGCTTTTGGATTTTTGGGCAGAAATGAGAGGCGTTTGACGGGCGCATACTCTTCTCCCACGCCATGAAATACTTCCGGTCGTTCAGATGTGGTGAAGAAACCCAGACGAAGATTTCTCGGTGGGATTTGGCCGTTTGGCTGTGGTGATATCTCGGTTTGCTCAAAGTCGGAACCCACGTTCGACCTCCGGAACAAACAGATCAGATCGGCGAGCGAGCAGGGGTCCCAGAGTAAGTTGGAATTCCGCCGTCGAAAGCGAAATGCGCAATACAAGAGTCCAAAGCCAAGAAGGACGTACAGCGCCACGAGGGTCCAGCCGACCCCTCTGACCGTGGTCCATCGGAAACGTGCTGGCCCGTCATCTGTAATCCACTGGGTCTGGAAGACACACGCGAGGAGCGGCACAGTAAAGCTCGTTATCCAGAAGATCAGGAATGTGATACCCAGCAAGGGCTCCCCATTGCGGAAGAAAGTGAGGTCCGGCAGAAGATAGTTTGCTGGCAGGATTCGCATGTTTTGCAAAGCCCAGTGGTTGCGACGACCTGAGCCCATGCCGTAATAAGGCAGAGATCTGTACACTGCGGCTTCAATCACAAAAAGCCACAGCATCAAGAGAATGCCAACTAGTTGTGGTAGATACTGGAAGACAAAGTATCGTGGTGTCGTGTTTCCGTCATAGTTGAAGAGTGCGTGATTCGTGCCTGCGAAGACCAGGCTGAATATTAGGGCGGCGATCATTAAAAGGCATAGAAAGAAGAATAGACCAAGAATTGGAAGTCGTAGAGGTAATGGTACAAAGCCAAGTCGCCGACGAAGGTCTTTCGAAAGATCAACTGGAATAAGGACTTCTTGGAGGCTTGTTTGTGAGGGCGGACGGGGTGAGGCAGGCTGCGGGGGCGGCGTTGGTGGAGGAGGAGAGGGTGTCGGCGCACGAGGGCTTTCGTCGAACTCGGGCTTGATGGAAGGTGTGGGAAGAGGCGCATTCGGAGCAGGAAATGTGCTATCTCTGCCTCGGCCGGTGACATCCTCATCTCTTGTCAATTGCTCAATGGCGAATCGGATATACGGTGTATCATCGACCCCAGGAGTCGGAGGGCTCATCTCGTCGAAACTGGATAGCAGCCGCACCGTTGTCTGTGCGCCTACGGGTTGGTGGTGTCGAATATTCAGAGGAGCCGGCTGGATTGCGCCGGGTCTTGAAGGAAGTGTCATCTCGGAGTCGACAGGGTTGTGCTGTACTTGTAGCGGAGTAGAAATCCGTGAGGGCGGCGTTTCATAGCTTGCTTTGGAATCGTCCGACTTTTGACTGGCGACTTCGGAGGCATAGTCTGAAAAGTATTCGTTGGTGGCGGAGGAGGACTTGAGAGAGTCGGACTTGATATATTGAGGTGTTGTTCGTTTCACTGATTGGAGGTGAGCGTCTGGATCAGTGACCAAGTTCATTACTTTGGGAGCGGGCAGTAAGCAAAAGATGCGCAAACCCAAAAACGAGCGGTAAAACTCAAGAGACGCACGTTAACAACGGTGGAAGAAAGCAGGGACGTAAGTTTAACGAGGAGACCGGAGAATTAAGAAAGCGTTGAAGGTGAGGCTGGGATTGAGCGTGTTGTGCTCATGGATGATGGTGAGGTGGTTGGTGGGTGTGGGCAGAAGCCGCTGAAGATCCCCAGCCTCCCGCAACAGAATTGAGCAACCAGAGTGAAACACATCATGACAGTAGAAGCAAGACCTGAACTAGGCGAGACATTGACATATATTCATTCGAGCCAGCAAATGGTATGTACGGGGTACGGTGCCAGCCGTGTGAAGCGAGTGCTGCTTTGGATGCCCAAAGACTTGACTTGAAGATAGCCAGTCTGAGAGTTTTCGACGCAGTTTATCTGCCTTGCCCGTTGGGGCCGTTTGCCAAGAACCCGTCACAGTGCTCCACTCCAACTTCGGATCGGGAAAAAGGGCAGTTCCGTTCATCTGGTCTAGCGCCTTGGTATTGCCTTGGCACTTCACAACCTGCTTTCCGGAAGTTTGAGTGCGTTGTGCCAGCCTTGCCTTTGTTTTGGGAAAAGCTCAGCCTCGTGGATGTGCCGCATCCCATTCCCTGAGAACGATTCTGGAAAAGTAACGATGTCAACTCACACATATCATCTTTAAAAAAAATCGTCGGCAACGCTCCTGCTATCTGGAATGATCTTCCCATCGCTCATTGGAAGGTGCCATTACCTTTTACTCGTTCAAGAGAGCTCCTTCTTGGTCTAACAAGTGGCAGTGATTACTTCTGGAGCCAACACTTCGTGAACAGGTAGGTGCGTGCAGTGAAGGTCTAGCGGCTATACAAGGTCTGGCAGTTCCATTTCAACCTTGGCTTCTTAGTGAATTCCGTCGCGCATTTTTACCTCTGCGTCGTCCTATCGTTTCTCCATCCCTTGCTGCCCTTCCCATACTATCATTCTTTATCCTTTCCGCCTCTCTCCACTTCGAAGACTGTGATAAGATTGTGACGCCGGCCGCCAAAATGATGAAAACAGCTCTTCTCGCCATGTTGTGGCTCTCAGTGCTGTCAGCGTCGGCCCCGACAAGGATTGACAGTGCTCCCGGTGTTCCGCGAAGCCGCATATTTAATATTCTCGACCAACTATGCTCATCCGAACGCTGTCTTTTTGGAGAAGCAACCTTCGAGTTGTCGTCATTCTCTTGTTCATGCCCAGTATGGTCCGGGTCTCCCGTGAGTTCAGACTCTCATGACGCTTGATTGTGTGTATCATTTGCTGATTGACTTTCGTTCAGTTCCGCTCTCCCTGTGGTACTTTGAAATGTGAAAATGGCAAAGAAACGTTCTATTCTGTAATAACGGATTCGTGTTACTGCGGCACAATGGAAGACTGGTACGACAAGGCCGATGAAGTCTATAATTCAATTTCAGAAAGACATGAACGATCGGTGAATGACCAGCGCCGCCGGCAAACACAAACAATTCCAGCACCAGCAATCGATACTGCGGTCCCGACATTCATTCCTCCGCCTAACCAAGACATTACTCCAGAATTGATTCAGGAATCTTTGAGTGTCCAACCTCAAAATACGGCAATAGTTGGCTCCATGGTCCCTTATCTCCTAGACGGCGTCATCCAAGTCTACCTGCAATTAGATGGCCCAGTACCAACCACACTTGTGGTCAACTGCAGCACTTCCTTACCCTGTGGCATGATTGGGCTTGTCGACCCTCAACCTAACCTTGACTTGGTCCCCTTGGTGGTCAATCAAAACCAAGGACAGCCTCAGACGGTGGTTGCTGATTGTCAATGCATCGCTATCAACATGTACGATCCAAACATTGCCACTTACTGGATCCAGAAACTCTGTGATGGAAGCGTCTATTCAGTTCTTGGAAACAACGTGGTTGCAGACATCGACAAGATGAACACGACCCAGAGCACAGCGTTGACTCTGACCGCTGTGTCTCAGGGCGCTGGTAAACGGAGCTTTGACGCCAACATTGCATACGTTCAACCCCAAAGAC